AGAACATATGGAAAGCAAAACAGCTGTCAACCAACATGAAAGTCAGAATCTTCAATGCAAACGTCAAGACAGTTCTACTGTATGGAGCTAAAGTGTGGAGAACTACCATAACCATCATCAAGAGAGTATTATTATTCCTAAATATTTGTCTACACAAGATACTCCATGTTCGTGGCCGGCTACCATTAGCGACAACTTACTGTGGGAGAGGACAAATGAACTTCCATCTGAAGAAGAAATTAAGAAAAGACATTAGAACTGGATAGGACACACATTGAGGAAATCACCGAACTGCACCACGAAGTAAGCGCTAACTTGTAGTCCTGAAGAGAAATGGAAAAGAGAAGGATCAAAGAGCACACTGAGTCGAGAGTTAGAAGCAGACATGAGAAGGATGAATAGAGACTGGAAAGTACTGGAAGGGATTGCCTAGGACAGTATTGGACGGAGAATGCTGGTGGTTGACCTCCATGAGGGATAACGGGCGTAAGTAAGACAGTTTCGCATCCAGTTAACAGTTACTCAATGTAGTAGCACGTCAGATTATGCCCCATCGCATCCTTACAAATCGCATTTCATTAAATAGTTGATCATATCTTCATAAATATGTAAGTGAGAATTGTGAAGCAGACCATAAGTTTATCAATAATTCGGCCGTTTTTAGTGTTCATTCTGTAAGGTGACCTCTGGGAAATTGGACATGGAAGACCATATGTACAGGTACTTTCTTGCTTGTTCTCATCTGAAGTGTTAGCTCTACTCAAGTGACCACATGTTACTAGATATTCTTTACTTATTTGATTATCCTCACCGTTTACCCGTGATACTTACACTTCTCTCTATTTATGTTGTTTTGGTTTTTGATTGATTCGTTTACGTGTTTAAAGAATTGTCTACTCCTAGCTATTCTGGATTATATTCTTCTATTATTCGTTTTACTGCAAGATCCAACTCCTTGCTTGGTAATGTGAAAGCGGCTGGATTCAGAAACATTACTATCCTGAAACTAGGCAATTGCTGAGACCACAAGACTCTCAAATACGCAAAGAACTACCAAACTAGAGCTAGTTAGATTGAGTCTCTGGACCACGGTTTTTTGGAAATAATCAATGACCTGGAGCTGTATAACAAAAACTAGAGCAATGAAGCCAGTAGATTTATTCGATGGTATTGAAATTGATACCCTGGTGATTTTGATTTTCGTCCTTGACAGTCTTTTCAAAATCCCATCCATTGTTGCCAAGGTAGTTTTTCATTAATGCAGTTATACTTCTCGATTCATCACATCAGTTAGTGTCATTATAAATCTTCAGCGTTTAGGTCTGCAAACTGACGCTTATCAGGTTAATCTTTTCAACATTTACTCTACTACGATCTGTTAAGACACGGCATTCAAACAATAGCATGACCATATGGTAAACATATGTTTACAACAGTAGGGTTCCATCTAGAAACACGAGCAAACTAATTATGCGTTTGTTATAGAAGTAAACCCTGGAATCACAGGGAAAGAGTGGTGTAAGAGGACCATAATTGTTGTCGACATTTAGGACCGTGAGGCTAATTCCGCGCGTGTAGTCTTGTGATGAAAAGCTCAATAAATCTCCCCTAAAGTAAATCGCTTTTGTCAGTTTGAGCTTCAGGGTCGTTTTGCAACTTCCAAACAACAATGGCATGAGAGTTCGGATTGGTGAAATTATAATTTGTAGACAGATCGACCAGCTACAAAATCGTTTTGCTGAATTACCTTCTGCGATGTGAGATGCTAATATCAGATCACTCCAACTAGAAAAGTAAGGGGCGTGCTTGTTCTGTCGACTCGTTCTGATGTTCGTGAAGTTCGGGTGAAAATCTAATTGTTGGACGACCTTTGAGCGACGTTAAAGTCACCGAGTGTCCACCTTATAACTAGGACCAAATAAGGGTTACAAAACAGTATGAGGAATTAAAACTATGGTTTACAGTTGATTTATGTTCACATCACGAACTAACATCAACTATAATGCCAAAACTCTATTTAGCCAAATGGATGAGTGAATTTCGCGTCAAAATCCGAGACCTGTTATTTTGTACCTGATTAGTTCGTCCATAAATTATAGTATCGTCAAAGTTTGCAATTTTTTCCAATAACGTGTTTCTGAAATCCTGTAGATCACCAAGGTTGAATGTAGCTTCAAGGTTACAAAAGATAGCCATAAGTTAGCGTTGGAAGTTATATCTACATTCAACAGTCCAAAGAAAGGTACATTATTATTTATTTATTTATTTTAACACATAGATATTGGTACAAGAAGGCACCAAATACATATGCGCTACACAAATCTTATTCGATATGTGCGAGGGCTGTGATACTGCCCGGGTGCCCAGACCGAAGCAGGTGGTTTTCTTAGGGGGCCACTCCCCGAGCCTTTGACCTAGAGGTCTTACCCACAAGGCAGTGGAGCATCGTAAGGAGATGCAGTCCCATGGTAGCCGGTGACCAACGATTGGTTCATACGCCATTTGTTCCCGCAGGATACTGGAGCCCATGTGCACCATCAGTTTGGGATCCGGTTAAAGCGCCGGACATTCGCTTTTCGTCCTCTCATTTTTGTAAATAACACCCCAGCCACGAGAAGGCAGTGAGTAGGACTTCCCTGGCAGAGGCTATATACGCGTGGCCATGTGAGAGCATTTCGAGAGGGAGAGCGGACCCACCCCACTCTCGGCCGTACCAGGGCATTTGGGGGCAAACTCTGGATTCTCTGAATTCCTTTGAGCGACGCCAAACTGACCCTGAGAATGTTCATTTACTAATTAGGAATTAATCACGATTATAAACCAATCTGAACTGACATAAGCTAAAATGCCAAAACGCTATTTGGTCAAACAGATGAGTGAATTCTGAGCCAAAATCCAAAAACCGTCTTGTTATATCTTATTGACCCGTCCATAAATTATAATCTCGCTGTTTTTGACTCCATATTAAATTGATACTTCTGTAATCATTATAATGATTTCTGTGTTTTCGTATAAACTGATGCGAATGGTGGTCGCAATCAGGCTGCTAGAGTTACCCCGGGCTCCCAGACTAGCCAGTATCGTAGTCAGTCTTATCGTTAAACCTATACAACCGTCCTTGAAGAACGTTAAAAATATCTGATCAAGAACAGCTTTAGGTTAGCCATATCTTTTACTGTTTTAATGAAATTTGAAGTTCAGATGTCGACTTAAATCAGGCTGCTACTGAGTAGTAGGTAACTTAAGTGTAGCCTAGATCTACTTGGACTACTCATTATATTAATTTACTCATTGTTCTGGCTACGTCGTTTGGGGATTTCTAAAGACATCCTCTTTAACGTTTGACACCTTAATTTCAATTTATCTATTCATTGTTACACTTTAGTTGTACACAAATTGTAGAACATGCGATTTAATAAGTGAAGTCGCTACTTAGGATTTATCAGTGGTTAAATTCGTATGGTTATCATATCTGCTTTTTTATATTTTACCAGTCTACTGAAATGGACATTATTTCTAATGGACACCGGATTGTTTTACGGCCTGTACAATAATTGTAGAATTGTGAAAACCAATCGAACATTTTATTTTAAATATTAAGAACGTACCTACGGAAAACCTGATTACGGCAACCAAGGTAAGCGTGATTGTTGATATTAGTAAACGATTTTATTCAACCTTAGTTGACATGTATTATGTAACATGTTGTGGAATTCCTGGTTTGGATCTTTTTCGTTCTTAATTTCTGTGAATTAATTTTTCTGGGAACACTTTGTCCTTTATGAACTACAAGCATAGTGTAGTCTACATAAAGCGCATTGTACATACTACTGCTCGGCGAGACTTAAAATTTCGGGATGTGTTTACCATGTTTTCACAGTTCAGTGTTCTTATTGGAGGTAATGTTAATCTGTCATTTTTATAGAAGGCCGATAACAGTCTAAAAACGATTTTATCTTAATATGCACTCAACTTCTTTTTGAACTAAAACATGTTAGCGGCTATAATTTATTAAAAATTTAAATTAAATACTCAGGTTATTAGCTCCTTGTTTGGATAAATGTTACTCACTGTCTTCCTGCTTACTGATAAAACACAACTGGAATATTAGGTGGTTGGGGTAGCATGCCTTGCCTCAGGTTTCCTGCTAGTTGGCATTAATTAACACGTTATACTTGCGACTAGCACGAAACCTAAGTCAAGGGTTCCTTGTCACCTGAAATCGCAACATAGTGCACATGTTTTCGAGTCACAGACTAGTGATCACATATCTTGATCTATAGAATTCAATCAGCAATAAAGAATAAAACAAACATGTCGTTGTTCATTACTCAGTGGTCAAGCACTTGGAATATCATAGCACTATTTTTCTTCAGTCTTATTGTTTGAATCCAGTTGATCTTACTATCCTACTACTAACTAAACAAGTGGCTATTCAGTTCACTCTGTTACTCAATTGAAATCGATAAGAGAAAGGAAATAAAATAGAAGTTCAGAAAAAACTAATGTTTGTCCAAACTATATAACTACTCGAAATAAAAAATTGGTGCAAATTTTGGTAGGTCAGTTATTCAGTCATGTGAATGCTTCACACCTTAGCACTTAAGTGTATCAAAACGTGTCATGTTTACTTCGACTATAAATCCCGGGTAGTATCATTAGTTGTCAAAGTGAGTGTGACTAATGATTCGGATAAATTCAGAAACCAAAGTCGTTTATGATTAGGGTGGATGTCATATTGTGTTTGTATAACTAAATTGTATAGGCGATAGTAGCTGTTGTAAAGTTTATTTTCAAATTTGTATTTTCAGGGAAGTTATGGTCAGTACCTGTGGGTTAGCTAGAAAGGTTACGTTGTGATTACTTCAGGTTTTTATCTGGAATCTAAAATAAGTAGTCACCATCAGTAACGTTGATTCATTCAACACATTTATTTTTGCACCGTATTCCCCTTGATCATCCGTACTATTCTTTTTAGAGAGGACTTATGAAACTTAGGAATGAACAGAGTCGTGATGCTACTTGATATGGACTGTTTTTATGTTCAAGTTGAACAACGGGAATTTCCTGAAACTAAAGGGAAGCCGTGTGTTGTTTCACAGTATAGTGAGTGGAAAGGTGGAGGGTTGGTTCATTATTTTGATGATTTTTTATCTTTAGAGCTTTAGCCATAAGTTACGAAGCCAGGGCTCTAGGTATCAAGCGTGGGATGTTTAGTGATGAAATTCGAGTTCAGCATCCAGAAGTGATTATTTTCAAAGTTCCTGAGAAACGAGGTAAAGCAGAACTTACAAGGTCAGTAACTTAAATTCCATTTTGAGGTTGATTGTTTTCTGCAGATATCGGGATGCGAGTTCTGAAGTGATTCAGTGTATATCCGAATTTACTAGCGATATTGAGAGGGCTAGTATTGATGAGGCCTACGTTGACTTAACTGGTAAGCTGGTATTTTGATACTTAAAAGCCTTCTAATAGGTATCGTAGATTCAGTTTTGGTCCAGGATGACAATTTGTCATCACTGCAACCCAATCCAGAGTCTTACGTGTTAGTTAGCAGCGATATTGCTGAGGAGTCAAAGTTAGAACTTACCAAAACCAACTGTGTTTCGCTCAACGGTGTTGATTGGATCCAGTTACTAGACTCTAACTTTGCAGAAGGAAGGCGATTAGCTGTAGCTTCTGAATTGGTATACCGCATTAGACAGGCTGTATTTACAAAAACAGGATTTAGATGTTCCGCTGGGATTGGTCCAAATAAAGTAAGCTGTTTCTGTGCTCTACCTCGTTTATTGTAGATAGTAAACAATTTGAAATTCATAGTATTTACTGAGCTGTGTTTTCGTTCCCATCTTTGAGTTTTTTGTTGTTCGAAATAATATGATGTATGTTAGGATTAAATCAAAGCAGTGCTCCTTCAACGTAACTTATTGTAAACTACTGTATTTGCTTTTGCCAGTAATTAGGCTGTTAGTTCAAACTCTGCTATATCTACTTTGCTTTCGGTGGTGTTTGCACAATTAGGGCAAATCGCCGTTTATAAATCCACCTTGTACTTGGCTACTCAGTAGCGCTGTGGCATATGCTACTCATACATATGGCAACAATAGGAGGCGGAATGTCTGCCAGCATAAAATTGAGTTAAGGAGAACAAGAAGGAAAACAAAGAGTAATTGGAGTAACGACAGAACTGGAAGATGTGCAAATAATGTATTTAATGTATGATTTTCTTATTTTATTTATTTATTGTGTAATTTCGCACAAAACGATCAATTGGTTTTCCTTACTGTATCTGAGTTTTCGTTTATCATAGCACTACCTTGACCGTTCATTCCTAGTTATAATTATAATTTAAAGCAGCTAGAAGCAGTCAGTAGTGACTCTAGCTGGTACTTTAGAAAGACGTGCTTATAACCTTTAGAGAACCTCAGCTAACCTACTGACCTTAGGTGTTTACTGTAATTAACCGTTTGTTAACGACCTACTTCGTGCTTATCTATCCCCTATTGTTGATCGAATTCTACTGATCAATTTGCAGTGCAGCTAAAATTCTGATTTTTAATTATCGAACCCCGTTGTTGTCTTTTAATCTGGTTGTTTGGCAAAGCGGTCGTTATTGCGATCTCATTGCTTAGAAATATGTTTCTCTTCTGTCAAATACGAAAATGTTACTTCCGGACTGGTATGCGTCAACATCTAAACTAGTGATCGGGAGTGAACTAGTTAGATATGCCAACCGCTCCACTTATCTTGAAGATCTCATCTGCTCTGGTGGGTCGGTGTTTGACGAAATTTCGGCACGGACTCAGAAACTACGGTTGCCGTTAGCCAGCTTGCATCACTTTTAGTATAAGCGAGATGACCGTCTCCCAACCCAAAAGACATATGTACTGTGCAGCTGTCCTCTGTTATATTTTTTGGCTGAGAGATGATCTATTAAAGTAGGAGACACGATAGGTTTAAGGTTTTTGACCATAGGTATCTTCACAGAATTTCTCTCGTTTCTTGAGATGATCGATTGGGCAACGTTGTGGTCAAGAATAGAATGGGGTATGGCAACTTGGACCGATGCATATATGTGTCTGGTCCTACTTTGTAGCTGATTGACTGACTGGTTAGGAATAGGGTATTTAGTAAAGGTGGCAAATCTGTTGATGAGGTAGTGAATCTTCATCGACCTGAGATGCTGTTATTTAGTACTCAGTATAATAACTTGGCAATGTGACAGATGTTTTAATCGATTTAATGAAATTGATCATTTTAATGGCAGTATTCCCGTTCCATATTTGAAGAGATAAAATGAAATCTTTGGGTTGTTTCTAAACCACCTGAACAATATGTTTCTCCATTACTAAATTTAGAATTCACAGTTCCAATGTAAAATTTTGTCATTGTGTATTTAACAAATATAATATTTTCATTGAGAATATAAAAGTAAACAAATTTAGTAGTATTCATGCAGTAAGTGTCTATACTTTTCGTTATTGGACTTGCGAAAATTCATCAGCGACAATTATGGTTGAAGTTATTAATGTAGAATTTAACTAAGTATTGTACTGCTTTCAGGTTTTCGATTTAGATTATTGGTAGTCAGTTCATGATTTTAATGAAACATTGTATTAGTTTGATTTGTATGCCCATACCGAAAGAGAGAGAAAGTAAATATAACTCCTCTCAACCTCAGTTCTATCTATTCGTTAACTGTCAGACTTAGACTCCTTTATTACTATTGCTTTCTTTTTTCACGTTTGGTAAAGTCTATCGCTAAATTGGCATGCAGTCTAAATAAACCAAATAAACAAACAATTATTCCGCATGAATCAATTCCCATTTTATTGGAAAATACTCATATAAGTAAAATGTAAGTGATATGTGTTTACTGATTATTTTGAGTAAATTATTTATTACTATATTATCTAATGGAATAAAACACAAATAATTAGTTAATATTATTGAATTCAGTTGTCAAGTACAAGTTCCTTTTATCAGTTATAAGTCGCTATACTGTTAATGTGATGACCATTGATACTGATTGAATGATGAAACTAAAATAGATGGAGCGTTGTTTGTATTTTGAGACAAGATTGTTAGATTGAGATTAGCAGTAACGTTTTCAGTGTTAAATAAAAGTATGTTATATCCAGCACTTTTAGTCATTTTTCTGTTCACTTAGCGGGTGAATGCTGCATATTGAAGTGTAATTTTGAAGCTTTTAAAGATATCCGCAACTATCAACTATGAACTACTAGTACGGTATGTTATATCTAAGAACGAATCAACATCGAGGTGCACAGAGCAAGCTTTGAAACACATATGAAGAAATTCAAACACTTCACTTCTATTTGAAGTTTGTGCTGATGATGTCGTTCAGAAGAACGATGAAAGCTCCACGACCAAACCATCCAGCTCAGAAAACAAAACTCCACCAAAGTAAATCCTACTACCGCAACAGGAAAACTGCGAATCGGACGATATGAAAAAGAACACGGAGATGATGGTCGATAAGGATTTATTTGACACCAAAAATAAATCGAATAAGATCGGAAAATTCGAATTTTCATATGATTATGCAGTATATAACATCAATTAACTAGTAACTTAATGTGGACGTAAATCCACGATATTATACAACCAGGAGATATGAATAATGTTCTAAGTTGTGTACATGACGTGTCACAGACATTTGAAAAATCGATTTTATGTTACTCTCACTTCAGTCATTCAAATCCCTGCTCACTATATCATATCTTAACTCAATATACTTAATGAAAAACTCAGATATAGTGGAAATCAGGGCTTCAAATGAAATCTTTGAAAATTACTCTTAAATAACGAACGATGAATTACTAAATGAACGGGGAAATGGTCGAATGCGGTGAATACAACGCTTATTTCATAGTGAAAGGGTCGTGGTTAACATCATCCATTGGTTAAACACAGTGTTTAAATTGCTGAACTGGTACTTCATTTTCTTGATATTCTAGTTTATAAGTATTTCCATAAATATAATGATTCAATCTTAAAGCTGTTAGTGTATAATTATCATTTTTTTGGATAGCTATCAGCTTATTTGAAATTGGGATCATACATAACCAACAGTTTATTTTGTCCATAATGTATATAAAAGTAGAGCTGAAGTGTCTTCATGGACTATTTGTTGACATGAATTTTCTTATCAGTTAATATAGAAATGCTAGGTGATTGTTTTTATTAGTTTGTTCAAGATTTCCCTATAACTATACTTTCTGCCTGGAATAGTCAAAATATGTCGATTAAAATTTTATTTCCGTGAAATTTTATTTCCTCATATTACTACTGATATATTAGTGTTCATCAAATCTTACATGAGTATCCCATATTAATATTCTCATTTGATATATGTGTCTAACTGAAAAAAAAGTGTAACAGTGTTTTAGGTGAAATGCGTAGTTTTAAACATTCATGATTTCTCATGAATTAATTCTTAGCAAATTACCATTAAAATATTAGTAAGTTATGTTAATGACATAAGTTGTTGATTTATTTATATTACATTACTTTTATCATCATCATCATTAATTTAATTCCAAGTGACTCACTGAATGAAACTCAAAGGTGAACAAAGCACTTGTTCAGTATTGTATTTTGTTTCAGGCTCTTGTAGTTGATATCTATTTTCAGTCAAAAACTGTTTTCAAGTTAATTTACTCTGATATTATATAATTTAATCACTTATGTGATACTGAAGTGATTTTAAAAAAATTATTAGTTGATTAGTATCATATTTGATTTTCCTTCTAAAGACGTAATTTAGGTGGTAAACTTGGAAGTGCTGTTGTTAAACAATTGAAGATTGAAACACTTGGTCAGCTAAGTTCAATTCCATTGTCTGTGCTCACAAAAGAATTTGGTGAAAAAACATCGTAAGTTTTGTTAGACTACTTCATTAAATGTTTGCATATTTTTTTCGACTAAATTTCAGAATTATGTTTTTTTATTAAAAATCTTTTTAGATTTATCAACTCACTGTCTTAAATCAAAAAGTAGAGCTAACAATTAGCCGTATGATCATTTATGAATGTGTTGAGTGTTTTAATAAAATAAAACGTAACTTAGCAGTACCATAAAATTGGAGTTAAAAGAATATATATTTGGATCATATTCTTACAACTTGTTCATGTTCTATCATTATCCTGATGACTAGTGAAAAATATAAAACTGCAACTTTTTTCTTTATTGTACAGTATGTATATAAGCCATTAATGCAATCGATAGTTAGTTTATTTGCTTGAACGCAATGTGGGACAATTGTCACTCATAGCTAATGGTATCCGATCAACGGATATTAGGTATCTTGCATAGATAATTGCTTATGACGTTCTCATTGAAGTTTCTGACTTTGACGTTGACCGATAATTGTTTTGAGTTCCACATATTCTTCAGTTATACGAATGTTGCCCTTGCTTTGCAATCCTTGACTCCATGTCTGCATCAGATCCTCCTTGTTTATCGATGATGCTGACAAGAGACTTAGACGTTTTCACCTAATCCAAAGCTTCATCGTCAAGTGTGATTGAATTGGTGTTCTTTGTGTTGTATTTGAGGATATTACTTTTTTCCTTGTGTATGTTGAGGCCTACTGATGCAGAGGCTGCTGCTACAGTGGTTGTCTTGACCTGCATTCGTTGGTGTGTGTATGTGGGATAGAAGATCTAAATCATCTATGAATTCCAAATTGTCTAATTGCATCCAACATGTCTATTGTATTCCATGCTTGCCCTAAGACGTGAAGATCTTCATAATCCAGTCAACCACTAGAAGAAGGGGAAAGGATGGAGAGAAGACAGCTTTGCCTGACTCCGGTTGTCACTTGGAATGTGTCTGTCAGCTGTCCTCCATGCACGACTTTGCAGTGTAGTCCGTCGTATGAATTCCGGCTGATGTTGACTATTTTCTCAGGTACCCCATAATATTGAGGAATGTTCCATAATATTCTCCTATGCACACTTTCAAATGCTTTCTCATATTCAAGGAAGTTGATGTATAATGACGAGTTTCACACAATTGATTGTTCATTGATGATGCGTATTGTTGCGATTCGGTCTATGCACGACCGATCGTTACGGAATTCAACCTGTTGATCTGTGAGTTGGGTGTCTATTAAATCTTTCATCCTGTTTGGCAACACTTTTTTGAAAACTTTCCACGGCACTAATATTTGTGTAATGCCTCTATAGTTCTCACACTTGCTGCGATCTTTCTTTGATATATTGATGAGGTGTCCTTCTTTCTAATCCATCGGAACTTGTTCTTCCTGTTAAATCTTTCTGAATAGATTATAGGTGTTGTTTACGAAAATGAGAGGACGAAAAGCGAATGTCCGGCGCTTTAACCGGATTCAAAACCAATGGTGCACATGGGCTCCAGTATCCTGCGGGAACAAATGGCGTATGAATCAATTGCTGGTCACCGGCTTGCATGGGACTGCATCTCCTTACGATGATCCACTGCCTTGTGGATCAGACCATTAGGTCAAAGGCTCGGGGTGTGGCCCCCTAAGAAAACCACCTGCTTCGGTCTGGGCACCCGGGCAGTATCATAGCCCTCACACATATCGAATAAGATTTGTGTGGCGCACATGTATTTGGTGCCTCTTTGTACCATTATCTATGTGTTGAAATAAAAAATAGGTAACTAAGTTTAAAAATTTCTAATCCTAAGTTATCCAGTACATTACTAACACTTCATAGTCAACTAATTGGTGGGTCCTTTAAAATTCTATAAGAAATAATTTACAAGCATATAAAAAATTGTTTGGTAACATTGAAACGTTGTCTCGATGGTACTAACACGGTATGCTACGTAAATTATGGCAATTATTCTAGAATTAACTCCATTTCAGTCAATAACATAGATGATAAAGGTAAAATAATGAGAATGGTAAGGAGACAAAATTAACCATAATAAAGTGGGTTAAAACGTCTGGTGTGAATATTAGTGTTTAGAAAAAATCATCTCATTACAATATACTATTTCGTTTTCTTGCTTAGTTATTAGATCGCACTTTGATAGATATTATTTGATGAGGTTGTAATTTTACTTTAGTAAACTCATTTGGATTGGTTGTTTGGATCTTCCCATCTGTGTTTAGAACCTCAATTCATCAGTCTCTAGATATCAATGGGATGATTCAAACAACCAGTAAATTGAACTTCACCCTACTGCACAACTAGTGGCTATCTGTATTCAGTAGCTAAGTGTATAACATGATTGTGTTTGAAACGGACTGTACTTGGTTCGAGTCCCGCAGTAAGCATCAACTCTGGGATACTAGTACATCTAGCCGATGAGTTCCAAATGGGACAAAACGTGTGTCCTGGTTTCCACTGCTAGCCTCCATGCATCTCTGCTTATAATACTTTATTGAACATTTAGAAGAAATAATTCTCGTATCATGGCACATAACTAAGCAATTCGTTTATTTTAGTTTCATTTACGATATTAATTTTTCATTTCGTAGAAAATGGCTTCATGACTTATCTCATGGGATTGATCATGAAGTAGTTACTACTCGATCACTTCCAAAGTCTGTTGGTTGTAGTAAAAATTTCCTTGGACGTGCAACACTTACATCAAGTGAACAAATTAAACGATGGTTATTGTGCTTAGCTGAAGAAATATTTGAAAGATTAGATGTTGATTATCATCAACATCAACGTTATCCTACTCGATTAATTCTTTATGCACGTACAACCAATGATCCAGGATACATTGGTGGGATATCACGTACACTTCCGTCTAATCTTTTACAATTCATTGGTTATGGAAATCGGAGTATCATGAATAATGATGATGGAAATTGTAGTAATAGTGATTTAGACAACAAATTACTTAAGTATACAAGTCAAATTGAAAAACTTGCAAATACTGCTTTGGTCATTTTAAAGGAAGTCCTTTTTAAAGGGGAAGCTCCGGAAATATGGTGAGTTCTATTTTCACTTTAAAATTTGCGATGAATTAAAATTAGATTTTTAATGTAATTCATCATTATTACCATATTCTAATAACTTTACGTAACAGTTTCTTGTAGTCTGTTTGTTAGATAAGCACTTTAGAATCATCATTTGGGCAGAATCATCAACAATACGTTTTTGATGAATAAAGTACTGTATAACAATTGTGTGAAAGCTGTACGGTTTCACTCCCATAATATCATGTTAATGACATAAACTATGAAATATTAGGATTACTAGTTAAGTTTACTTGATACCAGATGAAGGCAACACAAGTTCATGAAATTATTCAGCATTATTTATTTGAACACATAAATATTGGTACAAGAGGGCACCAAATATATATGTGCCACGCAAAACAATGAGAATGAGAAGTAAAAAAAGAAGGTAAGTAGCGTAGGAGAAAAAATAACAATAACGACCAACTTAGTGTAAGGTAGTGTAATAATAATAATGAGGGAAACCGAAAGATAGAACCAGAAGAAATCTTTCAGTTAAGGAAGTTAAAACCACTTTTTATTAAGGTAAAAGAAGGTTACAGCAGGATTGCCACTGGCTTATATTCTGAGCCATATCTGATAATGTCTCTAGCCACTGTGTCACACCATCTCTCGGACCCCAGCCAGGGAGTCGTGAAGGACCAACACAAGCCAGTCCTTTGCAGCTTTCTTTCATGCCACGACACCATGTCATGCACTGACCACCTCTCCGCCTTTTCCAACCAGTCCCAGAGTCGGCAAATAATGCACGACGTGGAATTCTCTGGGACGACATTCGTAGAACATGTCCAAGCCACCGAAGTCGGTGATTCAAGATGGTGACACCAATTGCATTATCGTCTCTATGCCCGAACACACGATGCCGAACCTCTGCATTACTGACATGGTGTTGCCACTGAATGTCAGCAATCCTTCGGAGACAGCGATGATCGAACACAGAGAGTCGTCTAACGTCCTCAACTCGGAGCGGTCAGGTTTCACAAGCGTAGAGCAAAACTGCTCTTACCGACGCGTTGTAGATCCGACCTTTTACAGCCAGACTAACATCACGAAGGCGCCAAAGGTGGCCCAGATTGGCATAAGCCGCTCTGGCTTTCACTATTCGTGCATTGATCTCATCACTCATGCCACCACTAGCACTTATGCAGTTACCTAGATACACGAAATTCTCGAATACTTCTATCTGCTCACCATCCAGGGTGAGTACAGGATTAGAATCCTGCCAGTCTTGTAGAAGTACTTTGCACTTCGAAGGTGCAAAGCACATACCATACCTACGGACACTGATTGCCAACTGATTAAGTGCGGATTGCATGCCTTGGGCATTATCGTACAGTAAGACAATATCGTCCGCATACTCAAGGTCGAGAAGTCTTTCTCCAGGCAACAGATCCACACCACCATTACTTACATTCATCAGAGCTGTTTCCAGAATGTCATCGGCAGCAAAGTTGAAGAGGAATGGTGAGATTGGGCAACCCTGCCTAACCCCACTGCTCGAATGGAACAATGGAAAGAGGTGGTTGTATGCCCTCACTCTGCCCGAGGTGTTTTTATATAGGGCTTTTAGGATGTTAATAAACTTCTCAGGCACACCCTTCTTCAATAGACAATCCCAGAGAACAGTCCTATCCAACGAATCGAAGGCAGCCCTGATGTCAAGAAACACTACGATTGTTGGCCTTTGATGAGTATGGCGGTGTTCTAACATTTGGCGAAGGGTGAAGATATGATCAATACATCTTCGACCAGAACGAAACCCAGCCTGCTCCTCGCGAGTCAATCTTTCTCGGGTTTTGAACAACCTACGAAGTATGACGGAAGCCAATAGCTTGGACGCAATCGGAAGTAGACTTATCCCCCGATAGTTGTTACAGGAACGACGTGAACCCTTTTTAAAGATAGGGACAACTATCTACTCATTCCATGACGTTGGTACACTCTCTAGCTCCCAGACCTTTGTAAACAACGTCGTCAGTCCCTTAGTCAGAAGGTCACCACCATCTTTAGAAAGAGCCGGAGGTAAGTCATCTGGGCTCGGTGATTTGTAGCGTTTCCAGAGTTGGAGTTCCTTGCGGACTTCCGCCTCATTTGGTGGATCAGTCGTCACCGGCCATGGAGGGCAGGACAGTCTGACCGATGTTACCGGAGCAGCAGGCCAGTTGAACTGCCCTTCGAAAAATTCTGCCCATCGTCCAAGACGTCGATGGATGTTAGTGATTGGCATCCCATCATCCTCGCAGCTTGTTTCACTCACACCAGACTTCTTGCTGCCAGTGGCTCGGATGAGTTGGAAGAGCTTCTGGTAATTGCCAGATGCAGCTGCTGCTTCCAGCTCATTAGCACGCATCGACCACCAGGCTTCTCGGTCCTTGCGCAAGCTTTGCCCAATTTCCTTACGTAACATCCTTCGTTTGTGGTCAAACTCACGGTCACCCGGAGTAGACCGACAGGCTTCGATGAGTTGTAAGGAGCCTGAAGAAACCCGGTGATCATAAGCAAGACGTTTCGCGAAGCCTCAAGCGACTTTACTCGCAATTTTCATGGTGTCATGAAGTTGCAACCTATGCTCATCTATGCTTTTCGGTGGAATGGTAGCCAGTCTAGAAGCTAGCTCGGTTCGATACTTACTAGCAACAAAAGTTGCAACCAACTTGCTGACATCAATCCGTTGGTGGCGGTCACTTCGTTGGCTACTGTAAAGTAAGGTAAGATTGGCGTAGACCAAGGCATTATCTGAGTCCAGATAGTTACTCCATAAGGAGCGGGAGTCTTGTACACAACCACGCCAGCGGTAGCTGATCACGATGTGATCAATCTGAGTCCAGGCTTGAGATGCAGAGGGAGGACGCCAGGTGGCACATCGGCGATGACTGTGCCGAAAGTTAGTGTTAGCCAAAAACAGGTTATGGTCTGTGCAGAGTTGTAGTAGACGGTCCCCGTTATCTGACCTGCGATCAACGAGTCCCCATCGGCCATCTAAACGACTCTCTGCTGTGCCTAGACGCCCGACCTGAGCATTCAAGTCTCCGGCTAGTACTAAAATATCTGTCGAACGCACTTTCTGGAGAAGAACAGATAACTGGTGGTAAAACTCATCCTTGATTGCATCCGGGCGGCAATCTGTCAGGGCATAGGCGGAGATGATGAAAAGATATCTTTTCTCACGGCGATTTCTTCTCACTTTGATGGAACTTTCTAATCTAACAGCACATAACCGACTGTTAATGGGGATCCAATCGATTAGTGCTACCTCAGCTCTAGCGCTTAGTGCGACACCAACGCCAGCAAGACTAGACGAAGATGTCACAAAATCCCCGGATAAACACACGTAAAACAAGCTTTTTGAAGTGACAAATGAAGAGCGAATTTGTAGTACTTCACCAGAGTCTTGAATACGGGTTTCGGATAGACAGCAGACATCGATACTAAAACTTTCCAAAGACATAGCCAGCCCTATCTGTTGTCCAACCTGCATAAGTGTGCGAACGTTGAAGACAGCCAGTTTGAATGGTTGCACGTGGTTTCAGAACAACTGCTTTAGTATTCGTAGTTGGTGGTAACATACAATTTTCAACCAGGCAGTGACTCGAGAACGTTTAGATACAACCGAGTTTCCACTATAGGCGAGCTGCTGTATAAGTCGAAAACTAAGAATACATAAAGTGGGAATAAAAAGGGTGAATAAATGACATAGTAAATAATAATAATAATAATAATAATAATAATAATAATAATAATAATAATAATAATAATAACGATAATAATAATAATAATGTGAATCGTTTGACTGTAAATCGAAGCGAGAATAGAGTTTTCAGTAAATACCATCATTTTCGTTATATTTTTACGAAATAGTTTATTGTAGTCACTGATTTTTACTAACACTGGTTATTATGAAATTTATTTTTCTGTTTAGGGATCCTGGTATAAATTCTTTAGGTCTTTCAGCTGGAAAATTCTTATCTAATTCCTCTACTTCAAATGTTGATATTCGATCTTTATTACAAAAAAAGCAAATAGAATCTATAAAATATGATACTGTTGTTCAGCAAGAATCAATGGTATCTATTCCACCTGAAAAGTCTACATCACCATCTTTAGTTAAATTGTCTTCTGATAATGATGTTAAAAATGATACAGTCAACATTTCACCTGATAGAAAACGTAATTCTAATGATTCTACTGTAAATATTAACACAAATAATCTTTCGTTTTTTAAACGGTTGAGAGTCGCTGAAATCTCAACTCCATTTCATCCAACTCCATTAATTGACAATCTCAATATTAATAATAATACTACTAATAATGATAATAATACAACTGAGAATAAGGATTTTTTATTAATAGAAAATCAAAGTGGAAAACTCATTTCCAATTCAATAACACCAACATCAATAACAACAACCAATGTACAATTGCATCAATCATTAGAACAGAATAAATCATCCACATTAGACGATTCTTCTTATTTAGAAGTTGACTCAGAATCACGTCATTCAACATCAACAACTTCAGATTCGTCTAATTTTTTCAAATCATATTCAATTGGTGATTGGATTATTTGTGATAAGTGTAATTCACGTATATCTGTATGGCAATTACCAGAACATGAAGATTTTCATATAGCTCAACGTATACAACATGAATGGTCAAATAAAGAGGTTAATATAAATACAACATCAATAGAGACATCATTAACAAAATCTAATGATACTAATAATTCAAATCAAGTAAATAATTCATTAATAAATAAAATATCTTCCAATCAAAAATCAACTAAAATTAAATCTAAATTAAAACAATCAAAATCAATAAAAAAACATCAAAAATCAATTAAATCTAATTCTGGAAGTTTAGATCAATATTTTCATAAAATCCCTTAAAATATATATATTAATGATATAAATATGTATTGTATGTTTTTTAAATGTTCAATGGATTTTCAATTGTCAATATTGTTAATTCTACTAATTTTTTTTGTTTTACTATTGTACTTTTCTGATATTTTCGTTTAAGAGAGATATTATGATTTAATGTTGTTTCTTCCCATATTGTATTTTTTCTTAGAATAATAATTTTTTCTTCAGTATTCTTTTATTACTGATGAATGTTTCAAGTCTTTTCTAAATTAAAAAAAGATTGTACTATGTATTTATTGAAACAAAACTTATGCTTTCTAGATTCTTTTTTTCAATGGTTAAGATCATGAGTCAGTTGAAGGTAGACCATCATGGAATACCTGGAGGCACTGAACGGCCGTTTCGTTCTACTGTGGGATTCCTCGGCAGTGCGCATCCACGACCTCGCCCCCTGCGAGATTCGAACCCAGGACCTACTGGTTTGTTTTGATTCATTTAAGCACTTCGAATTATGTCGCCCATTTGTTTATAGGCGCTAAAAATACTTGATTCAATAAGTATTTTATTTAGATATGTATTTATTATACAAATAATCTAGTTAGAGGGAGATAATGGGAATGTTAATGTATTCGTAGTATACATTATCAACTAACTTCAGCAAGACAATTATTTCAAATCAAGAAGCATAGGATAGCTGCTTAATTCTTACATGAAATTCCTTGAAAGTATCGCAATACGATTGGAACTAGTGAATTCTCATTGATGAATAGTAGTAATAAAGTGTCACACACTGAAAGGAAAATATTGGATAGCACTACTAGTTCTTAGTTCTACAGTTGACATCGGTTTTCGTTGAAAATGACCTTTAAGTATATAGTTGTTACGTACTTGATCTGTCTGCCCACGTTTGATGATGAGGCTACTTGTCTAACTTAGATTAAGACCTTAGGCGATAGACTGACTGGCTTAACCTTGAGGCTAGTATGCGTGAGTTCGAAGTGGGGTAGAGAGAAGAAAACTATTTTGTTACCTGATTGGCTGACAAGCACGCGAGTGCAAGAAGACAAGTCATCTGGCACACTACTCGATTTATTCCTGATTCCGATCTGGTTAACGATTTCAGATCGGTGTAAAAAGATATATGACTAACCCAGCCACAACATACAATAATTAGGGGAATACAATTAGGTCCCAAACTGGGGATTAGCGTAGAAAATAGAGAAAAAAATAACACGTTTAAATTACAATATCTTTGGAATAAAAAGGGCTATGGCAGTGAATCATACAACAAACGAAAGCTTATGATCTGTAGAATAGACTAGGGACAAAATAAATGTTAATGTTTTACAAGCTTCGAATTAACTGAAAGTAGCTTCAGCAGTTTGTCAAGACTTATTGTTTCTCTGTTCACTTCAATAGTTACACGCCCAGTTTATTTTATTTGACGCTATTAATTTATAATATGTTGCAAAAAAATGGTGGAAATTGTGATCACAACAGTTAAAAGTAGGTGTTTCCTTTGTATCGGTAATTTTATCATTGGATTTGTAGACTTTAACAGTTTCAGCTTTACTATTATCTGTAGCATGGAAACCTTTGAGATGGTGCAGATTTGTAATTCTGGTGGATGATTTTGGAAATGGAAAATTGGCAAAACTGTTAAATGCGAGTGAAAATATTTTAGTGCTGTTAAATAAGTAGGTAGATTAGAGAAGAGTGAGTAGTGGAATGACTGAATTAACTTAATAATTAAGAAACGAACATCTGCGTTTATTTTCTGAGTACGTTTTTGATAAGAAGTATTTTATTTTTATATTCTCTGAATTTTGGTTAGAGCCGTTATAAAAATACATTGACAACTATTTTCTATTAAACATTATTGGGAATATAATATTCTTATGTAAAAAAATCTCTTACTTTTAGGTGCATGCAAATCAGTTTTTTGTATGTAGATTAATCAAAACATTTCTGTACTTCTACATAAAGTCTATCAAAGTTTACAATTTAATAATTCTGAAGTATATCGATATTTTGAACAAGCGAGTCGTGTTGTATATGTCACGATGAATAGACATGTTAATAATAGTAATTGAAAACAAGAATATCAAATATCTTCTCGGAATCACTTACTTACTTACTTACGCCTGTTACTCCCAATGGAGCATAGGCCGCTGACCAGCATTCTCCAACCCACTCTGTCCTGGGCCTTCTTTTCTAGTTCCATCCAATTCTTGTTCATTTTTCTCATGTCTATCTCCAATTCTCGGCGTAATGTGTTCTTTGGTTTTCCTCTTTTCCTTTGACCTTCAGGATTCCATGTGAGGGCTTGTCTTGTGACGCAGTTGGGTGCTTTCCTCAATGTGTGTCCTATCCACTTCCAGCGCTTCTTCCTGATTTCTTCCTCCACTGGGATCTGGTTTGTTCTCTCCCACAATACGTTGTTGCTAATAGTGTCCGGCCAATGGATCTGAAGTATTTTGCGTAGACAACTGTTAATAAACACCTGTATCTTCTGGATGATGGCTTTTGTAGTTCTCCAGGTTTCTGCCCCATACAGTAGAACTGTCTTGACATTTGTATTGAAAATCCTGACCTTGGTGTTGGTTGACAGTTGCTTTGAGCTCCAGATGTTCCTCAGTTGTAAATATGCTGCTCTTGCTTTGCCGATCCGCGCCTTCACATCTGCATCAGATCCACCCTGTTTATCAATGATGCTGCCCAAATATGTAAAGGTTTTTACATCTTCCAAATCTTCTCCGTCAATTGTGATTGGATTGGTGCATGCTGTGTTGTATCGGAGAATCCTGCTTTTCCCTTTGTGTATATTGAGACCTACTGTTGCTGAGGCTGCTGCCACACTGTTTGTCTTCTCCTGCATCTGTTGTTGTGTTTGGGATAGAAAGGCCAGATCGTCTGCGAAGTCTAGATCATCCAACTGCATCTTAGATGTCCATTGTATCCCGCTCTTCCCTTCAGACGTTGACGTGTTCATGATCCAGTCGATCACCAGGAGAAAGAGAAACGGTGAGAGTAAGCAACCTTGCCTAACACCGGTCTTCACTTCGAACGACTTTGTCAACTGTCCTCCATGCACTATTTTGCAATGTAATCCATCATATGAGTTCTGTATGATATTGACTATCTTCTGAGGCACGCCGTAGTGTCGAAGAAGTTTCCGTAGTGTTGTTCTGTCCACGCTGTCAAATGCCTTTTCGTAGTCAATGAAGTTGATGTAAAGTGATGAATTCCATTCAATTGATTGTTCCACAATGATCCGTAGAGTTGCGATTTGGTCTGTACACGATCTATCCTTACGGAATCCTGCCTGTTGGTCACGAAGTTGGGCGTCTACGCAGTCCTTCATCCTGTTTAACAATACCCTGTTGAAGACTTTTCCCTGTATTGAGAGAAGAGTGATGCCCTTGTAGTTATCACACTTGCTGAGATCGCCTTTCTTCGGTATATTGATCAGAAGTCCTTCTTTCCAGTCTGTTGGTACTTGTTCCTCATCCCAAATCTTATTGAAGAGAATGTGGAGTATCTTTGCAGTTGCCGCTACGTCTGCTTTTACTGCCTCTGCTGGGATGTTGTCCGGTCCTGCTGCTTTGCCACTCTTGATTTGTCTGATGGCCATGCTGATTTCATCACTTGTTGGTGGGCCAACATTGATTGGGAGGTCCGTGGGTGCTGCTTCGATGCTGGGTGGGTTCAGTGGAGCTGGTCGATTCAAGAGTTCTTTGAAGTGTTCTACCCACCTGTTTTGTTGCTCTTCAATGTTGGTGATTACCTCGCCTTCCTTGCTTTTCACTGGTCGTTCTGGTTTGCGGCGATTTCCAGAGAGTTTCTTTGTCGTGTCATACAGTTGTCTCATGTTTCCTTCTCTTGCAGCCTTTTCAGCCGTCGTTGCTAAATCTTCCACATATTTACGTTTGTCGGTTCTGATGCTCCTCTTCACTTGTTTGTTTACTTCTGTGTATTCAGCTTGTGCCTTGGTTTTTTCTGCTCTTGTTCGACTGGTATTGATCGCTGCCTTCTTGTTTCTTCTTTCTTGAATCTTATCCAGTGTATCAACAGTGATCCATTCCTTGTGATGGTGCTTCTTGTGGCCCAAGACCTCATGACATGTTGAAGGGATTGCCTCTTTTATCCTCTTCCAGTTGCTCTCCACAGTAGTTCCTTCTCCATTGAGTAGATTATGAAAGGCCTGGAACTTGTTGCTGAGGTCTATCTTGAATTTGTTGAGTTTGTTAGTGTCCTGAAGAAAGGTCGTATTGAACTTTTGTGATATTTTCCGCCCGATTGTCCAGTACTTCTTGAGTTTCAATTTCATCTTGGCGACCAGCAAGTGATGATCTGATGCTATATCAGCTCCTCTCTTGGTTCTCACGTCCTCTATAGTCCTCCTGAACGTTTTGTTGATGCAAATATGGTCGATTTGGTTTTGTGTAGTGATCCGGTGAATTCCATGTGGTTTTGTGTATGCGTTTATGTGGGAATATGGTGCTGCCTATAACCAGCTTATTGAAGGCACATAGGTTTGAAAATCTCACACCATTTTCGTTTTTTTCTCCCAGTCCGTGTCGTCCCATGATGTCTTCATATCCAGTGTTGTCCGTTCCAACCTTGGCATTGAAATCTCCCATCAGAATGGTCAGGTCCTTTGTTGGACACTTCTCGATGATTGACTGCAGCCTATTGTAGAATTGATCTTTAGCGTCTTCATTGTAGTCGTTGGTAGGCGCATAGCATTGGATGATGTTCATTGAAATGCCCTCTTTCTTTGTTTTGAAGGAGGCTTTGATGATCCTTGGTCCATGAGATTCCCATCCTATAAGTGTATTTTGTGCTTGTTTGGACAGCATCAATGCAACTCCTTGTGTATGTGGTGCATTTTCTTCTTCATGGCCGGAGTATAACAGAAGCTCCCCTGAAGCTAGTCGTTGTTGTCCAACTTGTGTCCAATGTGTTTCACTGATCCCAAGTACCTCTAGGTTGTATCTTCTCATTTCTGCAGCAATTTGGAA